CCAAGCAAGAGCTTGAGTACTTGGGCCATTTTGTCACGCCGAAAGGCATTCGTCCCTTAGCGGACAAGATCCAAGCCATCGTGGATTGGTCGAAACCCCGTTGCACGACGGATGTACGCTGTTTTATGGGATTGGCTGGATATTATCAGCGTTTCGTCGAGTCATACTCGAAAATGGCCGCTCCTTTGTCGAGACTTCAGTCCCCGAAGGTGCCCTTCGAGTTCGACGACGCAGCCCGTGGCGCGTTCACTACGTTGAAGGCAGCGATGCAAGCCGCACCTGCCCTCCGTATATATGACCCCACCCTACCCACCCAAGTGACTACGGACTCTTCGGGATACGGTATTGGTGCGGTGTTGGAACAGTGTCACRAGGACGGTTGGCATCCGGTTGAGTACTTCTCCCAGAAGGTGCCTCTCGTCAACACTCTTGATGACGCTAGGAAGAAAGARCTACTCGCGTTCGTCACCGTCCTCAAACGGTGGCGCCACTTTCTTCTCGGCCGTCGGCGTTTTAAATGGAATACGGATAAYAATCCGTTGACATTTTACAAAACGCACGACACGGTCATTAGTACGATCGGTCGATGGATGTATTACATCGACCAGTTCGATTTTGACCCATGTCACATTCCCGGTCCCGCCAATCGAGCGGCGGACGCCCTCTCACGACGGCCAGACTTTTGCGCCATTGTGACCACGGCATTCGACCTCGATAACGATCTGCAACAGCATTTCGTCAAAGGCTACAAGTCCGATCCGACGTACTCTACGCTTTATGCGGAGCTTTCATCGGATCACCTGCCGGCTAGCCATTACCGGATTTCCGACGGGTTCCTTCTCCTTCACTCGAGAGGAACGGACTTGTTAGTTGTGCCCCAAGATCGTATCTTACGGACTCGTCTTCTCGGCGAATTCCACGATGCACGACTTTCGGCACACCTTGGTGTGAACCGCACACTCGCACGCCTCCGCCAGCGTTTTCACTCGCCCAACGTTCTTCACGACGTCACAAGGTACATTGAGTCATGTGCAGTTTGCCACCATAACAAGGTCGATCTCGAGTCCCCTTCGGCGAACTAAAACCGTTACCGATCCCTCGGGCGCCACGCCTCTCCATTGCTATGGACGTGACAGGCCCGTTTCCCCGCGATCGCCACGGCCATGACGGCATTCTCACGGTCGTTGACCGTTTATGTAAGTATGCTCGCTTTCTTCCTTGCAAGTATCATGCTGCAGCGCCTAAGCTCGCACGACTCTTGCACACCGGTTGGATTACCAACCAAGGTGTTCCGAAAGACATAGTGAGCGACCGAGACACTCGCTTCATGTCAGCCTTTTGGACTTCTCTCATGACGGAGTCCGGCACGACAATGAAGCCGAGCTCGGCTCGGCACCCGCAGACGGATGGTCAGACGGAGCGAGCGCACCAGACCGCTCAGATGATGTTGCGTACGCTCATCCATCCCGACTAGAAAGATTGGGTTGACCGGCTTCCCGACATCGAGTTCGCCTACAACACTTCGGTGCACCCGRCGATCTGCGTCACACCATTCGAGCTACATCATGGTGGAGAGAAAGCACGGATCTTCGCTGATCTCCTTTTGCCACAGGCTGCCGACATAAGCGTCCCTTTCTCTCCCGCTTCTGTCAGGAAGTATCGGGACTTGCTGATCAAAGCCCGC